CTATCAAGGATCACCCTCAAAACCAGCCTGTCAACTTAGGTCGCATAAGCGAGATGGAATTCCACTAATGCTCAAATTCGGTTTGTTAACGTCACTTTTCTATAGAGCAGGGAAATCGGGCATGCTACGGAAAATATACAAAGGGTTTAGCAAGATGGAACTTATGTTTAGTCTGTTCCTGATCATTCTCTGTAAATCAACAAGGTAAAGAAGTTGCACTGGTTTTTGGCGCCTTTTTAAAAGATGAGGAGACCCAATTTTTCCACCTCATTGTAAAAAATTCGCCAGTCGCGTCGGCATACATTTCGATAAATACACTACTTTAATCGAATTTTAACAAACTAGTAGCTGCCACGCTTCCAAAGTACTTTATTTTTGCAAAAAAATCTGCGACAATGGGCCCTCTTCAACTTAATATCATTTCTTTTTCTCCTCTCAGAGTGGATTTTAACGGCAATCGTAAAGACAAATTAGCTAAGTACAAAGGTGCAATGTTTTTAGTTTATGCAAGATTGAATTTAGAAGACATGTTGTAACGCTTTGAAGAAAATTTTAAAGACCTGCGTAGATTGTGCCGATTATATAACGATGTTTGGTAAGGTTTCCAGTTTTCATATGTGCTTCTGCCTCAATAGTTTCACCTTTGATGCACTTCGACCAAAACTTTTTTTTCAGAAGTGGCCCAAAACACAACATGGTTTATTTCAAGACAAAAGAAGATCCGAGCAAGGATTCTTAAGATATACGTCGAATTTCTCAGATGCTTTCAGGGTATTATCAGATTTTTCTTAGTTTTATGGTAGTAGCATGATGTTAAAACATTTGAAATGTAGTAATAATTGCAATCCCAAAACAAGTCGTCTCGTTTCTTAGACTTTATATAACACCACGTGCAATTTTCGTGTGAATGCTGAGCAGGTCTACTATCCTAGAAGCAAAACTGAGAAACCTTTGTATCAAAGTTGCTAACATAAAAATCCAGCTTAAGCGTGCCTGATGAATTTTTGCCATCTACACATTTGATCGCCTTGTATACTTTTGATAGAAGGGAAAACTTCGAGAGTTATGCCCAAGCGTTTTAAAACTTTGATGTTGATAGATATCAAGCAAGGTGTAACAATTTTTTGTAACTGTACGTAGAGTGAAACGGCAAAACATTGACAAAATTCTGCTAAAGGCCTAAAATAATAAGCCGGATGACAAACTGCATACAAAGATCGCTTACTTGCTGATTGTTAATAGACTAAAAATCTTCATATCAACTTTGTCACTTGCATTTTCTAAAAAAGAATAGAGCAAAACAGATCCCCGAAACATGTGCAAGTTCTTATGTCCAGATCTCCTATCTTATACTAGTATATATAAATTATCTTAGAAAACAAAGATCTACTGGTAAATAACTCTTAAACGTTAAGAAATGTTTAAAGAAGAAAACTTATGAACAAGCCATCAAATATTTTTACAAGGAGTTTTAGAAGGCTAATATCAAATTATATCCTGCAATTCATCAATCAATCGCTTGTGTTCATTCCATTTTTCAAAAAAAAAAACCTAATCTGCGCATTTACACCTGGAATTCAGAGAGTTATATTACATAGCAAGGACAACAACTACGAATATGTCAACTCACTGGATGTAAGCGTTGTCTAGAAACTCATACTCCTTCGAGGCAGCCTCTCCTACTGGGTTCTTACCAAACTGATTCTCCATTTTATGAAGGAGTGTACTAGCAGTAGCTTGGCAAAGTTCTAGGCCCTCTTCAACATCCCCCTGAAAAATCGAAAATGTGTTTCTTCTATGATACTATATAGTTATTTCAGTACAAGTTGCTGCAGAGCCAAGATTTTTACAGTATCAACTGTGAATGCTCGACGGTTCCATACAGCTGCATACTGATCAAATTCAGCTAGCTCTGAGTAGAGAGATCGAAGATAATCCAAAACATCCTAAACACTTATTTCGAAGCAAGATTTAATGAATTGTATTCACGAACCAACTGCTCTTGAAGTACGGGATCTAACGTTTGCTGCATACATGAAGCGTTATTAAGCATCCTTGGGATGCATAAAGCTTGATTTTCCAATAGAAGTATGCCGCGATGCCATGTATGATAGTGATGAGAAATAAACTGAAAAGATATTGGATAAAGGTTCTAAAACAAACTTGTTCACTATTACTTTACTTCGATGGGACGGGGACCAATATGAATTGGAGGATTGCAGCGAGCGAAGGTCTCCAAGAATATGCTTATGACAGGATGCACCGCGTGTGCTTGTTGTACGTGAACACCAGAAGTCATGAAGGGGACTGCTAGCCCTGCAAGCA